GGGGCATTGTGTTTCGGAGCATTTCCAAAGCAGATAAAGAAGGGAATGTGATTGATGCCAATTAAATACTTTGGGAGGTTTCTTAAGTATAAAAGATGAATTTCTACTCAAGCTTTCCAAATAGTTTGAAAAGCTTATGGGAAACATATGTAGTCTTCCAATTTGTCTTTTGTTTTGTTTTTTTGCCCTTCATGAAATCATACAATATTGTATATTAGGATGTTGAATATAGCAATTTTAATTCTATAGCTATTACTAGAAAATTTGGGGGGCCTATGGGCTGATTTGGGCTAGAGTAATTTTTTTGTAGAAGTGACTTATCTAGGCGTTTTCCCAACCCATAAATGATAGCTTTGTTTTGCCAGCTTCTCAGAATAAACTGACAATTTTGGGGAAGATCTTAGTCAATATTTACCTCATTTGAACTATAACGAGAAACAGTGAATTTAAAATAAGCAAAGAAGGGGCGCCTGGGTGGCTCATATGTTAAGCGTCTGCCTTCAGCTCAGGTCATGATCCCAGGGTCCTAGGATCGAGTCCCACATCGGGCTCCCTGCTCAGCGGGAAGCTTGCATCTTCCTCTCCCACTCCCCCTGCTTGTGTTCCCTCTCTTGCTGTCTCTCTCTCTCTGTCAAATAAATAAAATCTTAAAAAAAAAATTAAGCAAAGAAAACAGTGAGCTTCATTAATTATAACTCAAGATTCATTTTCTCCCTCAGTCAAAAAGAATTTTAAGCTAATGTTAATCTACTAGGAATTTTGTGCATTTTAATATAACTTTGGCTCTGTTAATAGTGTCTGAACAGAGTGCAACCACATTTTGAGAGACTTAACTTGGATTTAACTCCATTTTCATAGGCATTTCAGTGACTGTCCTTCAAGTCATGTTTAGAGGTGATACTGAAAAATTCTTCCTGAAAATCTTATGAATAATCAGGGCACCTAGGTGGCTCAGTCGGTTAAGCGTCCAACTCTTGATTTCAGCTCCGGTCACGATCTCAGGGTTGTGGGATTGAGCCCTGTGTCAGGCTCCCCACTCAGCGAGGAGTCTGCTTGAGATTCTCTCTCTCCCTCTCCCTCTCCCCATCCCCCCCACCGCACGATCTCTCATTCTCTTTCTCTCTAAAATAAAATAATCTTTTTTAAAAAATCTTATGAGTAATCAGTTTTCAAGGGAAAGGGTTTTTTTTTTTAAGATTTTTATTTACACATTTGTCAGAGAGAGAGAGAGAGCATACAAGCAGGGGGAGTGGCAGGCAGAGGAAGAAGCAGGCTCCCCACTGAGCAAGGAGCCTGATGCGGGACTCAATCCCAGGACTCTGGGATCATAACCTGAGCCAAAGGTAGATGCTTAACCTACTGAGCCACCCAGGCATCCCAAGGAAAGGTTTTGTTTTTGTTTTTGTTTTTGTTTTTTTTAGAAGTTTTATAGGAACAAATATCAGAGAAAAGCCCGTAGGGGGTTTTGCTCCATGGCAGATATGAAGCATTCTTTCTTATATGAGAATGATAGTAGTATATCAGTTACTGAACAATGCCCTCTGAGGTTTGGAAAGGGTCTTAAGTTATATCTGCTGTCATTTTCTATCAGGGATTCTGTGTTTAGCATTCTTGAGATACTACCTAGTACTTTTCTAGATGGTGGGGGTGCACAAAAGTAAGAGCAATGGTAGAGTTAAAGAGACAATATTACTCTGAGTTCAGAAGAAGGAGATATTTCTGACTGGGTAATCAGAGATTCTTCACAATGGAAGTGGCTCAGAAGCAGGAATTTACTTAGGAATGATGGGTAGAATTGGACTTGAGAGAAAGCTTGGCACAGGCCAATATGTGAAAGTTAGCACAGTGTATGTTTGAGGAACAGGAGTCTCAGCGATGGAGTCTTAGTAGAGCATGTAATGATAATTGTTCTCCAGGGGCATTGCAGTCACTCCTAGCAAAGCATATTTGCAAGAAAGCAGGGAAGGATTAAGGCAGTAAATTGTTTTCCTCAGACCTTAATTAGGAGTGAATTAGGGACGAAGCAGACAAGTGTGTAATTCAACACAATTGAATAAATATGCACCAAATGCCATATACTTATAATAACTATTTATGGCATACCTTCATTATAAATTATATTTACTATTATGTTTCAAAATATTTTTGTAAACAGATGTTTGCCTTAAAAAGATACATGTGTATATTATCAACATAAAATTTGGATTTCATATTGGTAAATTTTTAAAATGCAAAAGAAATGTTTTTTCTTATTACATACAGATACAGGGAACATGGACTTGCTCCACCTATATGGAAGTGAAAAGCAGAAGCAGCAGTGGCTTGAGCCTCTTCTTCAAGGGAACATTGCCTCCTGTTTCTGTATGACAGGTAAAAGCAAATCATGGTTCTCCCCTTGTGCAGTCAGACATCCTGGAGTTATTATAGATGAGCTAAAATGAAAGAATGGCTTTGTATTTCAGGCAAATTTGCCCATGGACAGAGATGGGCATATGTTTATTTTGAGCCCAATTTCAAATTTTGGCATTTTTAACTGTGCAGAATAAAATTGTCCTCCCCTTTGGGAGGATACCAGGTGATGTTTTCTGGCAGTCTACTTTAGGCATTTAGCAGCAGAGTAAACCTAACCTCAGAATCTTTTGACTTGCATTTCTAAAATTGCCATGTATGTATATTTAATATCTTTTTTGCCCTTGTGTGTGAAATAATCATCTTTGTAATAATTTTTATTGATAGTTACAAAATACTTAACTCTGCCATAAACCTAGAAAAATAGACTATTCAGCAATGCTGGTCACATAATTCAAATTATGATCATATGGGAAAGTAAAATTCGGAGCCTGTTAAAAATGGGTTTGGTACCATTTGTAAATAGGAAACAGCAATTGAGAATTCTTCAAAGGAAAAAGTCATCATTTTATAGTTGAGTTTAGAATTAAACTAAATGTCATCTGGCCATAATTTTAGCCAAATTTAAAAGTCTTCTATAACACTGTATGTATTTATAATAGCAAAACTGATCTCCATTTAAAATCAGTGAGAGGCATTTATTGAACATCTGCAGTGACATGTTGTCCACAAAGCACTAATTGGAGGTTACAAAATAAGTACACAGATCCCTTTCTAAAGGAACCCCATGGGTCTCTAGTTTTAGAAATAGAACACACAAAATATCTGAAGGACCCATTTAAAAGAGCAGCATATTAACAAGTGCAGATTACTGTGATTGAGGGCTAGCGTGTACATTTTGAAATGCCATATAGTAAAGCAGTTGTGTGAGGGTGTCCCATGGAAAACTTTCTGAAGACATTGTGCTGAGCAGGCTTTACAGAATGCAAAATAAGTCAGGGACCGCATTCCTGATGGAATTTGCAAGGTACAGTTGGAAATTGTCTAAGATAGTAAACTAGATGGTAGGGAAATCTGGCTTGCAATATTTAGTATTTAGTAGATTTCCATTGTGGACAATAAACAACAATATTCCTAGTCTACTTTTGATGATTAGAGAAAGGATTGAGTGCATTATCTCAAATCATGTATCAGTGAGGAAGCCAAGAACACAATTCAGATTGCTGATCCCAGTGTTTGAAATTCATTCATTCATTCTTCCAGTGCACATTTACTGAATACCTACTATGTGTAGGTTATAGGAGAACCAGGGTGGAAGTGGGGGAAGGATAGGAACATGCCTCTATCCTCAAAGAGTTCACATTTCCTTATCTAAAGTCTCTTTGTAAACTGATGATGTCTGCCTGCCTGTAAATTCAACCTTTGCTTATTTATAGAGCCCAATGTAGCGTCGAGTGATGCCACAAATATTGAATGTAGCATCCAATGAGATGGAGATAGCTATGTAATTAATGGCAAGAAATGGTGGAGCAGTGGTGAGTATTCAAATCCATCCTTTGTCCCAGGTGCTGTGCAGAATAATATGATACATAATTATTAGTTTCATGATCACCATTCTTTAAATTCTGCCTTTGAAAGCATATTCAAATTTAGAAATATTTAATTAAACAAAAGTAATTTTTTAAAAATATTTATTTATTTTGGGGGCACCTGGGTGGCTCAGTCGTTGGGCATCTGCCTTTGGCTCAGGTCATGATCCCAGGGGCCTGGGATCAAGCCCTGCATCGGGCTCCCTGCTCAGCGGGAAGCCTGCTTCTCCCTCTCCCACTCCCCCTGCTTGTGTTCCATCTCTCGCTGTGTCTCTCTCTGTCAAATAAATAAGTAAAATCTTAAATATATATATATATTTATTTATTTTGGAGAGAGAGAGAGAGTGCAGGGGTGGGGGTTAGGGCAGAGGCAGAGGGAGAGGGAGAGAGAAACTCCAAGCAGACCCAATGCTGAGTGCAGAGCCCGACCTGGGGATTGATCTCACCACCTGAGCCAAAATCAAGAGCCAGAGGCTCAACCGACAGTGCCACAAAGGCTCCCCAAAGAAAAGTAATTTTAAAATAACATATCTTGGTTAGGTGATACTTATTTTAAGAGCAGAAAACATGTCTTTTTTTTCCTACAATTTTACAGTTCACAGTTTTTTATAGTTTGCGAGAGAGAAAATTCATATTAGTGCACACTATTGATCAATGTAATTTCTATCAAAATTAAATTTCAGTAGGGACATATTAAATGAACTGTAATAATTTATAAATGTAGTTAAAGAGATAAGATATACATGTTATTAAAAATTGTGTCACATACTTTTATTGCTTAAAAATGCAAGTGCTTAAGCAAAATAATAAGAATCTGTATATAAGAAAATGTATTGGTTAGTCAGCCCTCAGTAATAGATTCACATAAATGGATGAGCCCTTTAGGAAGTCACAAAATTGGCATCTAGGTAAATATGATTATCTAAAGATTGCTTCTAGAGTATACGTGTAAATCTAACAGGATAACCAGCTTATTACTAAAGAAAATTGACATCATGGAAGCAAATTACATGTTCAGAAATTTACCAGGGATAAAAAGAAAAAAAAAAATTTACCAGGGATGTATTAAAAGGGCCAGTAAAGCTTTTTATGTAATTTTTTAATTGTTAAATTGTTATTCTTTGGGGTCTTAGGAAATCACAAACTAAGAAATAGGAAAAAAGGATTAAATTTTGCTGTATAGTTATTCAAGTACTGAAATTATGCAGTGAAATCATTCTTACATTAGACTTTAGATCATTTAAAATAATTAGAAATGCCCCTTAATATAAGCCTTTTTATTAATCTGTTTCAGATGGCCTAATTCATAGCATACTGTTTTTATTATTTATGTCTGTTAATACTATTTTCCAATATTGTTAATTTTAAGTTCATGTTTTGTGCATTTATTATTTCGTTTCCTCCTCCGTTGCTATATTCTTCCCATCCTCCCCCCACCTCTTGATTGCTGTAAGTTGGCACCACGGTGTTTGAGATTTAAGTTTCAGAATAAAGCAGATGTTTTATCTGAAGGAGAAGCAGCATTCATGTGTATCGAAGCAAGAGACAGCAGTGTTGCATTTAAATGCTAAAAGTACTGGTTGGCTCTGTAGGATCTTCTGAATCAAAAGGAATCTCCTCCACGTTTTGTCTTTGTCTTCTCCAGGACCCGTATTTCTTAGCAACTTTCATAATGTAGTTTTTAAAAGAGGCTCCCATGAAAACATACAGGATTGGGTTGAGGCAGCTGTGAAAGAGTGCAATGCTCTCCGTGATTTGGACGGCAACATCCATGCGTTTGCTCATGTCACAGTCGGTGATCAGGGAGTAGATGATGTCTATGACTTGGCAGAACCTGACAATGTTATAAGGCAGCTGAGTGACAATGAAAACTATAACCACTGTGAGCAGAACTTTGAGGGGTCGAGATTTTTTAATGTTGGGCATCCTGATGAGTGTCCTTGCTGTGACAAAGTAGCACACTCCCATAATAAGAAAGGGTATTACAAATCCGATGCAGATTTCCAGCATTTGAATTGATGCTTTCACTGAGGTTCCTAGGTGATATGGAAAGATGGGAATGCACCTAGCCTTGTGATTTACTGTATAAAAAACCAGCTGAGGTATACTCAGCAAGATGGCAGCCGTCCAGACACAGAAACACATAAGCCAGCATGGTTTCCCCACTCCTGTTTGACCTGGGGCTTTAGTTACTGCCCAGTATCTGTCTATGCTGATACAAGCCAGAAACTGCATTCCAGAGACAAAGTTGACTGTGTACAAGGCTGAAGTGACTTTGCACATGATTCTCCCTAAAACCCATCCATGAACTGCATTAACTGCCCAAAAAGGCAGAGTGAATAGAAGGAGTAAATCTGCCACTGCCAAGTTCAGGATGTACACATCCGTTTTGGTTCTCTGCTTCTTGTAATAGGCATAAATTGCCACTACTATGGAATTGCCTGCAATTCCAATGACGAAAGCTATTGTGAAGAAGGCAGGCAAGAAAACTTTTGCAAATTTTCTGACTTCCTCTTTTATACAGATCACTTCATACTGACTATAGTCATGAGTGCCATTCACTTCATTTTCCTCATAATAGTAATCTGTTGACTGGTTGTGTTCCAAAGCCATGGCTCCAATCTAAATGTCAAAAAGAACATAGAATATTAATTTTAATATTGTTTAAAAGGAAACACTTTTTAATCTAGCATATGTTTTGTTCTTTTACTAGAGAGTAGATTGTTGCTATAACATAGGTGAGGCTGAATCTGCTGCTCTTTGAAATTTGAAATTCTTCAATGGAAGCCACACTGGAGTATATACCCAAGATTAGTTCTTCATCACCTGTTTTTACAAGTCTCTGTGCAGGAGCTGGAATTTACACAAGAACAATAAAAATAATACCCTGAGGAGCTTTCTTAATCATTAAACCCTAAATCAAAGTAATGACTTTTATGTAAAAATAGTTTTTAAAATATGAAAATTTAGTCATTTCAACAAAAGGAATAAAAAGTCTTATATTTTTTACATATACAACTTTGTGATTCTTATGCAGGATATTGACAGTAAATTAAATAAATTATTTTATTCATCTAAAATAAATTTATTTTTCTTATTTATAAACTTATTTTTAAAAATAAATTTATTTTAAAATAAGTTAAATAAATTACCTCAGTGTTTATACTTAATTTCACTAGTTGGCCTTTATAAAACAAAGTTTCCTCTACTTAGCTTCCCTTCAAAACCTGTCACACATGCTGAATGTTACCATTCAGTAGCATCATTCCACCAGTTACCGAAGTCATAAGCCTACACTGTCCTTGACCTCTCTCACCTTCATCCCTAATTTCCAGTCAGACCCTAAATTCTGATTTTACCTTCCCAATAGATTGTGAATCTGTCTCTTTTTTTTAATTTGCCCTCTTTGACACATCTGCACCATTCGACCACCATTGTTTCTTACCTGGCCTATTACAATATCTTCCCAACTGGTATCTGCTATTCTTAATCCTCCTTACCACTTCTTTGTCAAAATCATTTTTCTTACTGCCACCAGAGTTCTATATCTCTGAAATGTAAATCTGTCACTCTTCTGCTTAGCTCCTCACCTGAAAGACACATTACTCCACCTGAAAGATATAATCCAAGCTCCTTAGCATGATGCCCAAGGCTCCCTCCATAATGTGGTCCTACCCATGGTTCCTGCTACATCTCTCTACTATGCACCCCATGCTGTGCTACATCTCTCTACTATATGCCCCAGTTATAGTACTCATCTGCAAGCAGTTTGCTGGCACACACCATGCTGTAGCACATGTCTACGCCCCAGTTATAGTACTCATCTGCAAGCAGTTTGCTGGCACACACCATGCTGTAGCACATGTCTATATCATAACTCATTCTGTTCCTTCATCTGATAGACTGTTTCCTGCCCTTCTCTTAAAGGGCCAATTCCTCCTCAGTTAACTTGGACATCACCTCCCCAGAAGACTTTCGTGATCCAATAGCTATATCTACATACATACCTACGTTCATTCTCAGAGAACTGACCCCATCCTGTGGAAAAGATGGGTTTCTTAGTTCCCTAAGAGTATGACCTGTTGGATTTATGTTTGTAATGAATACCTTATGGAGTGGCTGCTATACACTAGGTGCTTAGTAAATATTTGTCAAACTAAAGGTTTTACAAGCAGATATAAAGCTATTAGTCTAGAATAGATAGATGATATGGCAGGAATCTTCTTGTCTCATCATTAGTTATTTTACTGTATTGGTTATTAACACCTTATAGAAGTAAGATAAGCTTGCACAGAATTCACAAGTTTGGGTTTTTTTTTTTTTTTTTTTTAAGATTTTATTTATTTGCCAGAGAGAGAGAGAGAGAGCACAGGCAGGGGGAGCAGCAGGCAGAGGAAGAGGAAGAAGCAGGCTCCTGGCTGAGTAGGAAGTCTGATGTGGCACTGGATCTCAGGACCTGAGCCAAAGGCAGATGCTTAACCAAGCCACCCAGGCGGCCCCAGAATTCACAAGTTTTAAAATGTATATAAAATTGACTTTCAGGGGCGCCTGGGTGGCTCAGTCGTTAAGCTTCTGCCTTCGGCTCAAGCCATGGTCCCAAGGTCCTGGGATCAAGCCCCACATCGGGCTCCCTGCTCCTCGGGAAGCCTGCTTCTCCCTCTCCCACTCCCCCTGCTTGTGTTCCCTCTCTCACTGTCTCTCTCTCTCTGTCAAATAATAAAATTTAAAAAATCTTAAAAAAAATAAAAAAATTTAAAAAATTGACTTTTAGTGTTTTTATTTTACTGCTGAGTTTTATTTTGCTTTTTCCTTAGCCTTTCTGTCTCCCTTTGGTTATTTTTGTCCTTGGAAGAAGCTCTAACATTCTTATAGAATCATTCAAAACAGTGTGCCAATTTATGGTACATTTCCAAAAGAATATTCTTATTCTTACTAACTCTTTTTGGATGAGTAAAGCAGAGAAGGCTCCTCAAGGAAATATACCACGTAGAAGAACTGCTTTCATTATGTACAAACCAGGTGCCAACAATTTAAAATGACTATTTTTACCCGTAAGTTTATTTGAAAAGTTCCAATCTAGAAGACCATTCTATTCTGATCATCATTTTCTTATGTGTTAATTATTAACACAGTATGAACTTTGTTCTTTCTTCCTCATTCATCACAAATCTTGAACCTGATGATAAGGAATAAAAAGCCCAAATAATATAAGACACTAAGGAAGTATATTTTTAAATAAGAATCTTACTAAAAAATGTGAGTAAATAGGACAGGAATGGAAATTATTTGCAGGAATTGATCCTTCTGGCAGATATATAGGAACACATTTTAGATGTCTTTATTACAAGAACAAAAAAATAGCATTTGTAAAATAAAGCAGAAAAAAATGTCATAGCAAAACCTATTTTCTCATTAACAAAGTTTTGTAGGCAAGTAATGATATTAACATAATACCAGAAATAATAAAATATTTTCTTCTTGCTGTATTCAGATTTTTGTTTTAAGATTAAAGTGTATAGCTGTTTTCAAATAGCTCTTTTTTGCACATGTTAACATTTAGATTTTTGTGCATCAAGACTCCCTTTACATAGGTAAATATACAGTCTTTGGGCTTTAAAAAACAATCTTATCCAAGTTAGAATGAGAAAATGAAAAAAACCAACCTGTTTCAGCATGCAGAGAGGAGCAGTCTTGAGTGTAGAGTAAAATCAAATGACCTCTTTAACTCAGGCTACTTTTGTTTTCGTTTTACACCCCGCCTTTGTCTTGCATGCAAGAGGGCTTTCCTGAAATTTAACCTTGTGAGCACTTGATCTTTTATTTTTTGTATAACCATGCTGTGAAGTCAAATCCAAGTTCTAAAGTGTCTTAGGGTACAAATTTGGGAAAGAATTCCATCTTGTTTCAAAAGCTACATACCTTTCAAAGTTTCCACTTAGATGAAAGGAACAAGAAAGTGCCTGCTGCTGAGGAACCAATGGCCAAACCAAAAAAATTCACCCCAGAGAGCATCAAGGCAGCTAATGAGCACTTTGTAGATAGGATCTAGAGAAATAGTCTCAAAAGTTACTTTGTTTAGGAAAGAAAAGAAAAATGACTTTAACTCAGAAGGTTCTTTTTAAAGACCAAATTATCACAGACTAAATTCTGAGTAATAATTAGGCATTTATAGAACTTAATATTTTTTGTGTCACATCATTTAATATTTTACTTAAACTATTAAAGTACTCTTGACTTTGCTATATTTCTTCCCTATCCTTGACCCCAGAGTATGCCTTTCCCCATGACTTTAAACACTCTTGCCCTCTTTAAACTTTTTTTTTCAAAGACCAGCATACAAACCTTCAAAATCCTTCTGTCTGGGGACGTTGTTCTTCCCACGGTTCCAAACAAATGAAAGTTAGAGAAGAAGTGCGGGCAGATTCAGCCCTTCTATTTGAACTGGACTCTCCATACATTTGTATAACAATACCCTTTATTTCTTTTCTCATGCAAAGCTAGGCTCAGTCTCCAGTTGCAGAAATTATAGGCAGCATATAGATGGGTCTTGTTTTTTTATCCTTTCTGACGCCATATCTTTTGATTGGAACATTTAGTCCATTGATGTTCAAAGTAATTATTGATATATATGTATTTATTGCTATTTTGTTACTTGTTTTGTGGTTGTTCTTGCAGTTTTTCTCTGATCCTTTCTTGCTCTCTTTCATGGTTTGCTGGTTTTCTTTAGTGATATACTTGGATTCCTTACTCTTCATTTTTTGCATATCTATTACTGTTTTTTGATTTGTGTTACCATTAGGTTTATATATAACATCTTTTGCTTATAGTAGTCTATATTGAGCTGATGGTTGCTTAATTTTGAACTCATTCTTTACTCCTCTCCCCTCCACATTTCAGATATTTGGTATCATATTTTACATCCTTTTATTTTGTACTTCTCTTGACTGATTTTTACAGATATACTTAATTTTTTTTCTTTTGTGCTTGTATTTTTTTTTTTTACTCTTACTTCTGGTTTTTGTTTTCCATTCACAGAGCCCCCCTTAACACTTCTTGTAGGCATGGTTTAGTGGTCGTGAATTCTTTTAACTTTTGTTTGTCTGGGAAATTCTTTCTCTCTCCTTCTATTCTGAATGATAACCTTGCTGGATAGAGTGTTCTTGGCTGCAGATTTTTCCCTTTTAGCACTTTGAATATATCATGCCACTCTCCTCTGGACTGGAAAGTTTCTGATGAAGAATGAGCTGATAGACTTACAGGGTTTCCTTTGTATTTAATGGTCTTCTTTTCTTTTGCAACCTGTAACATTCTTTCTTTATCACTGTTTTTTGTTTTGTTTTGTTTTGTTTTGCCATTTTAATTGCTGTGTGTCTTGGTGTGGACCTCCTTGGGTTGAATTTGTTGGGGGGAATCTCTGTGCCTCCTGAATCTGGATCTGTGTTTCCCTTTCCAGATTCAGGAAGTTTTCAGCTCTTATTTCTTCAAATACATTTTCTGCCTCCCTTTCTCTCTCTTCTGGGATCCCTATAATGTGAATATTATGCTTGATGGAGTCACTGAGTTCTCTAAGTCTATTTTCGTTATGCAGTATTTGTCTCTCATCTCCGCTTGATTGCTTTCCATTACTCTGTCCTCCAGGTCACTGATTCGTTCCTCTGCTTCCTATAGCCTACTATTTATTTCATCTATTTTATTTTTAATTTCATTTATTGAGTTTTTCATCTCTGATATGTTAGTTTTTATCTCTCTGTCAAGGGTCTCACTAATGTCCTCCACCTACTTCTGAAGTCCAGAGTATCTTTACGATTATTACTTTAAATTATCTATCAGGCCCATTACTTATTTCTGTTTCACTTCGATCTCCTGCTGTGATTTTTTTCTTATTCTTTCATTTGGGACATATTTTTCTGTCTCCTCATTCTTCTACCTCTCTGTGTCTGTTTTGGTGTTAGGAAAGTTAAATACATCATCTGCTCTTGAAAGTAGTGGCTTTATGAAGAAGAGGACCTGTAGTGCCCTGCAGTGCAGTGTCTGCTGTTCACCAGAACCTGGCACTTAACCTGTGTGTGTTGCTTGCATCCTGCTCTTGTGTCTGAGTTGCTTTTCCTTTCAGTCCAGACATCTACACTGAATCTCTGCCTGTTGTGAGCTGTGCTTGCTCTCTGTGATGTTAGTGAGACCCACGAAGGCTGGTTCTGAGGGGGCATGACTGCAGAAGGGCTTGCGGGCAGGACGACGGAGTTAGCAATATTTATTCTGAGCTTCTAGTCCTAGGCTGGATCCCCTGAAGTGCGGAGGCATTAACAAAATTTGTGCTGAAGCCAGCAGTCTTGGAGTGGGCAAGTGTTCCAGGAGAACTTATGGGTGGGGTGCATTGCTAGCAGGTTAGGCAGCAAGTGTCTGCGCAGCACCATCTCCCACATGTGGCTCTGTGTTTTGGGGGGGAGGGGGGAAGCTGGTGCCCACCAACTCCTTTGTTCCCAGAGAAGTTCCCCAACACACTACAAAGTCAGTATAAACAGATTTCCTTCCCATTGTGCAAACTGTTGCTTCTATGTTGCCTCTCTGCAGGCTGTCAGCTATCACTCCCCTCCCCATTTGCCCAATGCTGAGTCAATCGACTTTTAAAGTTCCAGGCTCCAAGTCTTACTGGTTATACAAACTCATGGAATTCAGCCCCTCCAGTTTTCAAAGCCAGATGTTATGGGGATTCGTTTTCCCTATGTGGGTTCCATGTTACTTTCCCCTCTCTGCACCCACAGTTCCCTCTTTCCTGCAGGCAGCTCCCACTCACCTTTTCTATTCTTCCTAACCTCTTCAATGTGGCTTCTTTTCTACATTAGTTGTGGAGTTTGTTTTGCCAATCCTCAGATAGCTTTCTGGTTTATTTACTCAGAGGTGATTGAAATCTAGTTGTAAACATGGGACAGTGGTCCGCCTACTCAGCCATCTTTGCAAAGCCTCCTCTCTTACCTCCTGTTCTTGATCTTATATACACTGGAGCAGTGTGAAGTGAACAAGTAAACCTCCCCTAAATTCTCAGACAGGCCTACAAAATCCTGCAAGGTCTGCCTCCATCCCTCATTGCCTCTCTGACCTTATTTCCTATGCTTTGCTTGTTTGGTCTGCCACACCAACTTTCTTGCTGTTTTGGAATGTACCAGTCACATTCTTTCTTAGGACTTTTGTACTGGCTCTTCTGTCTGTCTGGAATGTGCTTCCTCTTAATATTTGCAGGTCTTACTCCCTCATCTCTCAAGGCTTTGTGCAGTCACCACCACCTCCTCACTGAGGCAATCCCTGATTACTCTATTTAAAATACCCCTCACCTGCCTATATTCGAATCTAGCTTACCCATAGTACTTATCCTCTGTTAATTTACTATATAATTTGTATTATGTTTGCTATTATCTCTCGCCCTATATTAGAATATAAGTTTCATCAGAGCAGGGACTTTTATTTGCTTTCTTCAGTGATACATACCAAGTGCCTAGAATAGTGCCTGGCACATAGTCAATATTTTGAATTAACAAATAATCCTACTTTCCCTTCTGATTATCAATCTATTGCACTTTCCCTTGATGCTGTACTTCTTTAATGATTCATTTATAACTTCAGCCTCCATAATTAACAATTATGTAATCTCTTCAATCCATCTATATTATATGTAGAAACAATACTGACTTGTGAGCCCTTGTTCAGTGCTATTACTCCTATCTAGAATACTCCTCCCCCTCCACTTTAGCTCCCTACCTCCTATTTAGGATTCAGATTCAGATCTGACCTTAACATTACTTAATTCAGGAAGCCTTCTTTAACCTTTTAGATTAGATCAGATGTATGTACTCTTTACTCCTATAGTACAATCTCACTCTGTTATTAGTACTTAGTAAAATTTTCTATCAGTAAAATTTTCTATCTTCCATAGCAATCATGTATCCTGCTATATCCTCAACATTTAGCTGTATGCCTTACTTATGGTACCAGTTTATTGAATAATAATTCAATACATGAATGAATGAATGAATGAATGATTCAGTAAGTCAATCAGAGTTTAATTTATCCTCCACAGACAAGTTTAGCAATGGAGCTGGAATTTTTTTTTTTAAGATTTTATTTATTTGACACAGAGAGGGCACAAGCAGGCAGAGCAGCAGGCAGAGGGAGAGGGAGAAACAGGCTCCCCACTGAGCAAGGAGCCTGATGCAGGGCTCAATCCCAGGACCCTGGGATCATGACCTGAGCCAAAGGCAGACACTTAACCAACTGAGCCACCCAGGCACCCCTGGAGCTGGAATTTTAAATCCAGATCTTCAGTCCTAGGCTATTTCCACTTTATCATACGATCTCTTATACATCTTTGTTATTCCATGATATCATCTATTATAGAACCTTGGTAATTTTAAAGGGTATTTAAAAGTATCCTTTTCCTTTGTTTTATACCCCCCAACAATCACATGCTTTCTTGTAAATAGGATTCCCTTCTTGTAAATCAGTTATAATGCTATAATCTTTATATCTTTCAAAATCACACATCATTTTTTGCTAATTCACACACATACCCAGCCCTTGGGGCATAAAGGATCTCAGGATCAAGCCTCTTTTGGTGTTATATATCATATGAAATAAGGTGAAACTAGTATATTGCCTGGCCTTTTCCTGTATTTTCCTCCTCCCCAGAAAGAACTAGAAGAGATGGTGTTG